TTTGCCTCGCCCCACATTCACTACTTGAGTAAAGCACTCACACTTCTACGAGGCCAGAAACACCCTTCCTCCTCCTCACAGAAACACAACAACAACAAAGAAAAGGCATCACATCTTTTCAAAGTTAGATTCCCACTAATAGTAATATATATATATATATTACTTGTTTGCATTTGTAATGATCTGCACGTTAATATCCCAGCCGGTGAACGGACACATTCCTACACTCAGAGAGAGAGAGAGAGAGGGAGGAAAAAAAATAGTAATAATAATGCTCTTTCCTCATTTCTTTAGTCATAGACGTATTCCTGCCGTGTTTCCCTTGCCAAGCAGAAATGCAAGTGAGGATCATACAACGAGACGGAAGGACAACGCATCATCGCTACTAACAATCGGCATTATTCATCCCTTTGATTGCCCTCTTACTCTCGCTTCGTCTTCTCCGCAGCGACCCCCTGCTGCGATGTCACAGGTCGAGAACGTTGCTGAAGAACGGGCAATTCGGGTTAAACCGCACCTCGGTATCATCGACTATGAAGCACCGCATCACCATCTCAGCCGAGGGTCTCTTGCTGTGATTTATCACAAGAAGAGAAACGACGAAGCATGCAAAGGCCTTCGAGTAGTTCTCCGCCAGGATGTCATTAAATATCATCGCAGCAAAACCCTCGTTCTTTGCCTCTGCGTACATGATGCGCACTGTCTGAAGTGTCACACGTGCTGTGGCGAGGGCATACAACAAACATCCAAGACTCCATATGTCGCTGGCTGTCGTTGTCTGGCCATTCCAGCACTCTGGCGCAATGTAGGGGCGCGTCCCACCGCCACGACCCGCGCGACATCGATCTTCCAACATAAAGGCCAAACCAAAATCTGTCACAACAATCGGGATGACATCGTCAGAAATTTTGACGGAGCAACTGGTGCCATGACGTAAGGGGCAATGATACTTTTTGGAGGACGCTAAACCGCTAACGCCATTTTTACCGTCACTGTCCGTTTCAACGCTATGAATGCGCCTACTGACATCCTCGTCGTCATCGCCTTGTTCCTCAGCAGCACTATGTGGCGGCTCCCCGCAAATAAGAATGTTCTCTGGCTTAAGGTCGCGATGCACGATAGGTGGGCGTTGCGAATGCAGATGGTGCAACACCGAGGAAAGTTGATAAGCAATTGACAAGAGTTGCGGCTCGCTTAGGGCGTTTCCCCGCATCGCAAATTCCGCCTCACACACTCTCTCCAGGTTACTATTGCTGCCAATTCCAAAAGAAAGATCAACGTTGCTGTAGCTCCATGATCCCGCTGTGGCTTGTTGTGAAGCATCATTCGTGCGATCGTGCGAGGATTGACACTGGGCTTCGTGACTAAAGCTCCGCGAAGATTTTCCGGGACGGAAAAATGAAGGAGTACTGTCACTATCTGAGCCCAGTTGCACCCAGGACGTTGCGGCATCATGCTCCATCCTCTTTGCATCCTCCTCTTGCGCCCTCATAAAGCGTGCCTTATCCTCCTCTAGCTGGCGTTTTAGCTTGGCGTTGTGTTTCACTGAGTGACGGAGGACGTAGCCACACAAGTCACCCATGGGATGATACTCCATCACAAGACACAAATAACGTGTATGCATCGGTCCATCTTCAGACGTGCCCGGCGTTGTCAACCTCGCCATGTCATGGGCCACGCCAAGAAGCGGCCTTGCAACAGACATCGGCGATTTGTTGGCGGCAAACTCCAGAAGTAACTCCTTACCCTCTTCACACTGTTGTTGTTGTTGGCGGTGTTGAACCATGGATGTTTCCTCATTTAATCGTACTGCATCAGCTATATCAGGCGAGCAGCAAATCGTATTCGCCGCAGCATCTCGAGTGGGTTGTGGTTGCTGTAGTAACACTGTAGGCTGGGGCGCACCTCTTGTTGCTGCGGGTGACACCGTGGTAACAGGACCGTTTTTATAAATAACTGTTGTAGGGCTTGGTAGCACACACGGCACAACAAGATCCCTCGTACCCTCGTTTAGCTTCGTCATGCGGGCTGCACGAACAGCAGCGGCAACAGACTTGGGCTTTGTCATGTGCCCCAACTTATTGGCCTCCTCGTTGGTGCCGGAGTCTGGGGAAATAAAATTTTTGTATTGTATCTTCCCCACAGCAGGTTGCACGTGCAGCATTGAAGCGTAAGTTGGGGTTTGCTTCACGACAAAATCGTGTTTCTTTACCGGGACCTGCATCGCTGCTGGGACCTTACCAGCAACCGCCAAAGAGGTATCAAAGTCTTTGTAACGAATAACACCGCGCGGGGCATACGACGTGCGTTTCTGAGGCAAGGGCAGGCCTTCTTGCGGCGTGGTCAGTGTTCGCAGTAAAGCATCCGCGTGTGACACCTGCGCAAAGTTGCTGTAGTGCATCACCTCCCCCTGTGGAAGCGGCGGCACTCCCACTGGCAACGCAGGAGCGTACCCATGTGGGCAGTGTGCCCGGGAGCGTCGAGGTGCACCGCTGCTGCTCAGTTCGTGCAACGGCCTGGAGTTCGCACAACTTGCCACAACCAGTGACACTGTGGGAGGCGGAGGAGGCGGAGGCTGCGCTGGAGAACCACTTGGCTTCCTGCCGTCTGCCTTTGCAACAACAACCTCATCAACATTCTCATCCCTACTCCGCATAGGACAGTGAAGGCACTGAAACGCCGCATTTCCAGTTTGCAATATTTTCTCATCGTCGTCGTTTAACAGTGGTTGTCTTCTTGTTACCGACGTGCTTTGGACATCTTGAATGGAGGCTGCTGTCAAACGAGCAGGCGCGTTTGCAAGCGCGTGCCAAACTGAAGATGGCGGTTGGAGTTGTGGTACTTCCCGCGGCTTCTGCTCACGAACTAGCCTGTGGGGTTGAGCACCCGCCAATGTCATGACCACGCGTGGGTTATGAGCCACTCGCTTTATCCCAACTGCGTTCCACCGCGGCAACTGTGGCTGCGGTGGCGGTGCGGATGTCAAAACGTTCGGGGCTTCAGCAGAGCCAGCCGAGTGCCCCCAATCAAATTCGTAGTTCATAAACATATCCACAAGGCGAATAATGTTCGGATGTCCCTGCAGCGAGTTAATTGTTTCACACTCCCGAATGGCGTCCAAGCGTTCCTTGTTGTCTTTGCACACCAGAAACTTCAACGCATACTTCTGGCAAGTGGATTTGCGTCGGACCAGGTACACGGAAGAAAATGCCCCCTCCCCAATTCGTTGCAGCACCTCGTAGCGAGACCAATTTGTGGTGTTCTTCACCAAACTGTCTCGCTCCAATTTTGGGTTGGGGCGAAGCGGTGGTATCTTGGGAGGGGCCTTTCCTCCTCCTCCTCCTCCTCCTGCTGCTGCTGCTGCTGCTGCTACGTTTTTGCTGCTGCCTGTGGACACCTCACCGTTACTTCGTCCAGCACGAACTACGACACTCACAGGAGTAGGTTCTTCATCCTCCGTATCGCTGCCGTTGCTTTCTCCGAGAAGTAGATGCATGGCGTAGTCCAAGTTGTAGTTGCGTGGCTGCCGCAAATGCGCAAATACAAACACCGCAATCACCACCACCGCAATCCCCATCACAATACTGAAGCTGACACTCACAGTGTACATACTTTGGTCTTTTATGCCCTGTGGAGCAGAACAATCCTGTAGGTCACGGATTTGAAATTGTGTAAATTTGATTGGAGTAAATAGAAATCCCTTTCTACGTGAGACGCGCGAGTGCGTGCCCGCGGCGTCGAACAGCCATACAGGTCCATTTGAAAAACACGTATACACGTGGCCACTCTCAGCGCGTGGTTGGAACTCCGCTACGGTCGCATCCTCTGGAAGCCTAAACACATGCACATCAGACGTCCCCGCGGCGTTTCCAATGCAGAGCGGGTTATTCGACAGCCGCACGTATCCCTCTATCGGTGGGTGGAGCGTCAAACGCAGCGATTTGTTAACTGGCACCACCGCATCAATGTTAGGGACACTGGTGATGCCAATGCCACTGCTTCGATAAAAGACCCGTGCAGAGGCCTCGGAGTCCAATCCAAATCCACCAAATTCGAAAAAGACCAACATGGCACCCAACACACCCACGGGAAGGGTAAAGGCAAAGGGGGTGGACACAGAAACAGGAAGAACGTTTGACGGCTCCAAGAGAGACTGCCAAGTAATAACCACGCTGCCGCTATTAGGCAAGCCGGCACGGCCCAACAGTTGTTCCACGTCAAGGCAGTTGACAAAACTGACATTCAACACGAGGCATAGCTTGTCGTTAAACCTAAACATGTACCGGTTACTTAAACGGGAAGCACTGCTTTCGTTGACGTTCTGATGAAGCAGTGCATAATTGGCAGGCAAACTCCACACAACCAGGTCTGGAGGAGACACATTGACGTCAGTTATTGCATCCTCGCGGGCAGACGCATTGCTAATCACAATCGCCTGTACCATCGCGGATGGACACCACACGGCTGAAGAAACACGGTTGCAATTTAGGAGCTGATGCTGCATCTCATGTGTCGCGCCCGCATAACTCCGTGTATCGCTTGCCTCTCCACTAGGTGCCTCAAGCCGCGTTTCACCACCAGCAACATATATGAGTTCACTGTCTACAGCAACCAGTGGGTTTTGCACAGCCACGTTGAGTTTTGCAGCCCCAGGTGTGTAGCGGCGCAACTTTGTGTCATACACATCAACAGTGTCAAGGGCCTCTCCGGTGAACAAGTCAACCCCTCCAATGATTAAAAGAAGATGCCCACGTGAGCTGCATGTGGCATTTGCACGAAATGGAATATATGTCCTCGTGTTCTCACTCACTTCGTTACCACCAAACTCTTGATGGATGCTAAAGTGATCCACCACACGCGTCAAACTGCTCGAGAGACCCCAAATACCTGTGTACTGCCGCCACACAAGGGTTGAATTCTGGGTCCCTTGGTGCTGAGGGAAGTAATACCCACATGGGCCAACAACATAAAAGGAGAAACCTGCACCTCCTTCAGCGTCAACATCGTCCAATCGCACCATGGCGGTGGGCCCGGCTATTCCCATGGAAACTGGGGCAGAAGCACCACCCTGGTCCGAATTCCCTGCGCTTAACAAGATGGGCAACTCCATGAGTTTTGTGGGCCGCTGCTGGTTGAGGTCCACAACCTCCACCGTATTCAGCGGAGTTGTGCATGCAGAGTCCTTGCAACCGCCCACGACGAGAAGTGAAGCGTTCGCAAAGACCACCGCACTGTGTGCGCGACCAACCGTCATGGTAGCGCCAAATGGCACCCACTCCCTGTCATTATAAATTTCCGTGACGGCCGACACGCCCAGAGGCGTCTCCGTCCATGTGGCAAAACAGTAAATGAGCAAAAGTGCTAGCCACATGATGAATCGCAGACGCGAAGATATTTTTTTTTCCGTCCCCACCATAAAATAAGCGGAAATCGGATTGGTTGGGTGGGTGGGTGGGGGGAATGGGGGAATATAAATTAAATTAGAGCCAAGTCGTAACACAAAATGCCCTACTCCTATTCTATGCGCCGCTGATAGGCGCGGCTCTGGTCCGGCTCCTGCCAGCCGCTCCACGGGGCCGCAAGGCTGGAGAACTACAAATACTATATGTATGGAAAGAGAAACAGGGGTAAAGTGCAGCGACGTATACCGCCACTGCACCCGCTGGTGTCACGGAATACTTCTGTTGCTGTTGTGTTTCTTCGCTTGAAAGTGATTCCCTGGAAACTAGCGGCATTAATTAAAAAAAAAATACGCAGAAGCACAAGTGGAAAGGCAATTGAACGCATACAATGATGAGAGCGCAGCACGCGCACTGAGAAAGAGAGAATAAGATTATCCCACCCCAAAGCGCACCACATACAGACGAATCATTTGAAGCCGCTGGGACCAGTGTTCACGCACTAACGCAAAAAAAAAAAAAAATGTCGCATCCTGACCTCTCGTTTAGCAAGACAGAAAACTAGTGGATATTATATATATGTACACATCCTTGGTAGAAAAGAAGTAGAACACAGAGGCAAAGACGGCGAAAAGTAGAGAACCATAACAGCCACAGAAACAAACAACAAAGAAAAATGGGGGTTCTGACACACCACACGCACAATACAAACGATATAAAAAGAAAAACAGAGAGAGAGAGAGAGAGAGAGAGAGAGAGAGAGAGAGAGAGAGAGAGAGAGAGAGAGAGAGAGAA